CATCCGAAGAAGTGGGCTGTAGTCCACGAAAGCTTATGCTCTAATAAATTTGTTAGTCTCTAAGGTGCCACAAGTCCTCCTGTTCTTCTTTTTGCGGATACAGACTAACACGGCTGCTACTCTGAAACCTTTCATTAGTGGAGATAAGGTACTTGTAATGTTTGCCACTTACTGAGAGGTAGCTAGGTGAGTTCCTCACCATACACGCTCCTCATGCCTGTAGCTGCCCTCCCTTTTTGCCTCCAGTAAAACTGAAGTTCCTAAACTCCACTATATTTTCACAGCAGGATAGCTAATGCATGTTACTTATCCAAACAGACCTTTGTCAGTGAAGAGACAGAAATCTGTTTGTGGCTTTCTTAAGCGTTCAGGAGGCAAACTTTACAATATTTGCTACTTCAGTAATTCAGGAAGAAAACTGTTTTTAAATACTTAGGATTCTACTGTCATTGTTTTACTGTTAATTGAGGACTCTGATATCCTGATTTAAAGGTGCCAATTTTTTTTTTAATTTAAAAGAAATTGGAAAAGAATGAAATAAAATACTACACTGAATAAAAACTATAGTTACTGTATTTCCTCATTTTTTTAAATTATTTATTTGGCAACAACAGTTTAGAATTTAACAGCTACTTAACATGTGGTTAAACAGCCTTCAGCTGGTTCAATGCCTTTGGCTAATTCTGTCCTAATTAACTATTAGTTATTACCATTAGCCTAAATCAGGTCCCTTGGGGGATGTCTCAAAGCAGCCATCCTAAGTGATTATACCCCTTTTAAAAATAAACAAAAAACAATTGGGAAATCGCAGCAGCCTTTTACACCTACCTGGTATATGCATCAGAAAAACTAGAGCTGCAAGATGCAAGCCTCTTAAATCACACTTTTATAGTTCAATGAGCTGGATCAATGGCAAAACTGTGCAACATACAAAACTATATAGATTTAAAAAACTCTTTAAAACCTTTACTATATGAAACTACACTATAAACCCCAACAACCTACATGCGGGTGGCAGGTATCAAAGACCAGCGCAGGCTAAGCCTCCTCTGACCCAGGCCGTGGACCTGTCCATATTCTGCCCCGAGGCCCCGCACCCCCGTCCCTCTTGACCCTGAAGCTGGCGGGGGCTCACTCAGCTCCAGTTGACGGCCTGGAGCTCGGGCCCACCGGTGGCCCAGGGTGACACTGGGTCCAGCCAAGCGCTGGGGCTGGCGACTCGGCCTGGCGCTGGTGCCAGCCCAGTGCTGGCGGCTTGGCCTGGTGCTGTGGAGGCTGGCAGCTCGGGCTGGCACTTGGGGGGCTAGGCCCAGTGTCACAAAGATACTAAGGTACTTAAATCCCAGACTTAGGTGCCTAGGTCCTAGTTTCAGCTCCACTGTGATCCACAAAACTCCTGTTGAACCCTGTAGGTGCCTAAGCTCAATTGCTGCCTACGTTTTCAGGGTACAAGTTCCCTAGGCACCTATGTTTCTGCCTCTGTGCATGCATGCTACTGCCTCACTCCATGCAGCTGGACACCTATCTGTCACTAAAACCACAGAGTGATTCACAAATTGGAGAAAGACAGGCATTTGGCCACTTAAGTTGTGTGAGGGGTGTAATTCGGTAGGCATGCTGAGGTTACCTACCAGTCCAGGTCCCCTTCAAAACTGGCCAAAGGAGGAGATGATAGTAGTGCCTACATTATAACTTTTAGCCCAGTGATTACAGCAGTCACCTGGAATGTGGGAGACCCAGGTTCAATTTCCCCCCCTTTCTGCCAGAGGGGAAGAAAGGATTTGAACAGGGGTTTCCACCTCTCATGCAAGTGCTCTGACCACTGAGATGATGTGGGGCTCCCTCAGTCTCTCCTGTTGATGCTGTTGCACTGTGGATAAATAACGAAAGAGTTATTGGAGCAGGGTCTCCCATCTCTCAGGTGTGTGCCCTACACAGTCTACAGTCTTTCTCTCTCTCTGGCCCAATGACAACTTAAGTATTTATCCATAGTAGAACTGGGGGAGGGGAGGAGAGGAGAGAGAGAGAGTGAGGGCCAGTGGTCAAGGCACCCATCATTATTTATCCACAGTCTAACAATTTCAACAATTGGGATGGAGGGAACTGCCCCATCCCAATCAGAATATCCCATAGCTCAGTGGTTAAAACACTCTCTTGAGAAGAGACCCCTGATCAAATCCTAAAAAAATCCCTCTCCCCAGCAGAGAGGGGGGAATTGAACCTGAGCCTCCCACATCCCAGTGCTCTAAGCATTGGGCTAAAAGTAATAAGGCGTGAACCAGCTCCTCTTCCTCCAGCCATTTTGTGTGAAGTGAGGCAGGTGCCTAACTCAGTGGTTCCCAAACTTATTCCGCCGCTTGTACAGGGAAAGCCCCTGGCGGGCCGGGCCGGTTTGTTTACCTGGGAGCTGCTGGAAGCGGCAGCCAGTGCATCCCTCGGCCCGTGCCGCTTCCAGCAGCTCCCATTGGCCTGGAGTAGCGAACCGTGGCCACGGGGAGCTGAGATCGGCCGAACCTGCGGACGCGGCAGGTAAACAAACCGGCCCAGCCCACCAGGGGCTTTCCCTGCACAATTGGTGGAACAAGTTTGGGAAGTATTGGCCTAACTCATTCCCACAAGAAACACCTTAGGCGCCTAAACTGCCTGACTCCAGGAGCTGGTTTCCATTCATGGACTGCTAAGCAGAGATAGGTGCTTCCTTATAGCCTGGACTTGGGTGCCACTCTCCAAGAGGGGGACTAAGCACACACTCCTCTCATTGGCATCTCCCACTGCTTCGTTTAGGTGGCTTCCCACCTAGCATGCTGTTTTTTGTGGATTGCTTTCTAAGGTGCCCATCTCTTTCCCCTTCATTGTATAGGGAGCTTAGGCACCTAACTTGACTAAAATCACAGTGTTGCTCCTGTGATTTTTCTAGGTGCCAGGATGCTCAGCATTGCAACACCTAAGTCCCTTTATAATCCCATCCCTGATTGGAAGCAGGAAGCAGGCTGCAGGTACAGAGACAGAAACCATCCTCCACTCTTCGACTGACCATAGAAAGAGAGGAACTGAGAATGCAGAGCCATAACCCTTTATATAACCTTACACTGAACAGAGTGTTACAAATCAGCACTTGCATGTCTCTCAACAGGCATAGCTTTAAAAGAGATTTCTGAATTTTGCAGCAGCAAGAGGTGCCAGAGCAGTCAATGACGTTATGCAGAGACCACCTCAAAGATGTGAGTATTAGCATGTGTCTAGATATGAAGATCTGGTTAAGACTACACTTCAATATACAACATGGATATCTAAGCTCCAGTTAGCCAAGGAACAGTCTGATATTCCACTAGATGGGTCTAATCTTACTCCCACTGAAGTCAATAAGTGTTTTGCCACTCACTTCAGTGAGTACAGGAATGGTCCCAATAATTCTGCTCTCTATGCAGTCAGCAGGACTTCTGGCAATGACTACAGCCAGAAGCACTAAACCTAATTTCTCAAATTTGAGAATATTTGAAATCATAATGTATCTGTAATTTTATCCTTCTCCTACCCTGCCTCTCTGGGTCTCATTCTTTCTCAGGGAATCATGCTTCCCACAGTTGCTCCATAATTCTTGTTTGATTCGGATTTTTTTATTTTTTTACTTATTTCACTTTGTATGTATTTTCTTTTGTAACATTTTGTAGTATTACCTCTTTTTCCATGTGGAAATTGTACTGAAAAGTGTCAGTTTTATAAAATGTTCTAAAAAGTAAATAGTAAAGTACAACCTCTTCAAAGTACAGCTGCCCTTGTAGAAAATATGCCAGAGGATCTCCATCTATGATCCTCTTCGCCAACAGCTCCTCTGCCCTTGCAAACAAAGCGGTATGGCTATAGTTCCCTGATAAAAACAGATATATATTTGTCTAATCACAACAAACAGAATAATATTGTAAGTACACTATTACACTGAAGTTGTAATAGTTCTCTTTTTTTACCCTGACAGACATCATTAAGATATTCCCTTTTTGTTGCATGCTCCATAGACTCAGCTAAAACAGATCAGTGTTTTATACTGGAGGAAAAAATCTACAATAAAGATAATTAAACCTTTATGAAACAGTTTACTTTGCCATAAAAATGTTGTATGTATTTGTATGATGAAAACCTGATCTCAGTTGGTGGAAAACCAGAATACAAATAACAAGTTCCCTTATACAAAGATTATCCACACTGGAAACATGAATTAGAACAGTTTAAGCTAAACAACTGAAAATATCAACGGATTTAAAGATGATGAAAACTCCTTTCAAAACTGGCAGCCAAATCAGGGAATATTACTTTAAGCCCCGATCTTGCAATCTGGTGCATGGGCTTCACACAGGCACAACGGTCCACCTACTTACAATGACTTGCAGGAGCTGGGCCTTACAGAAAGGAGAGACATTGTTTCATATGCTAGGGCAGTGTTTCCGAAACTTGGGATGCCGCTTGTTTAGGGAAAGCCCCTGGCGGGCCGGGCCAGTTTGTTTACCTGCCGCGTCCGCAGGTTCGGCCGATCGTGGCTCCCACTGGCCGCGGTTCGCCGCTCCAGGCCAATGGGAGCTGCTGGAAGCGACGGCCAGTATATCCCTCGGCCCGCGCCACTTCCCACAGCCCCCATTGGCCTGGAGCAGCGAACCACGGCCAGTGGGAGCCGCAATCGGCAGGACCTGCGGACATGGCAGGTAAACAAACCGGCCCGGCCCAGCCCGCCAGGGGCTTTCCCTACACAAGCGGGGCGTCCCAAGTTTGGGAAACACTATGCTAGGGCCTGGGCTACCTAAGTGGCTGACCTGATTTAGATGCCTAACTCCAGGAGAAAGTCTGCAGCTGGGTAACCCAAGCAGAGGGAAGTGGCCCACCAGCCAGGTGCACCAGGTCAGCTGCATACTTGCCTATGCCCCCTTCTCAGCATTTCTCTCCTGGCTAACTTACCTGACTCCCCACTCAGCTGGCTGGCTTTTGAAAATCGCTTCCTTAGGGGACTCTCTCAATATATTTTATGGGGTGCCTAGCTCAAGGCTGAAAATTCTCCTGGGACACAGCGTAGGGGGCTAAGTGTTGCAATGCCTAAGTATCACTGAGGATCTGAGCCAAAGTCACTTTGAAAATGAGACTCAAGGGCCAGATTTTCAAAGTTATTTATATGCTTAAACATACGGATATGCACCTTGTGGGCTTTTAAGGGTCTAACAAGTTACGCACTTAAGTCGTATTTAAATCAACAGGAATTAAGTGTCCACCTGCTTGGGCACTTTAGGAAATCACATTAGGGGCCTATCTGTATCTTCATGATCCTAAATACCTTTGAAAATCTGATCCTTTGGCAATTAAGTTACTTAGCTGCTTTTGAAAATTCTTCCCCAGGTTTGCCACTCACTTGCTATATGACCTTGGGTAAGTCATTTCATTTCTGTGAAGTCTATGTCTAATATGGGAGCGATGATAACACCAGGGTTATTTTGAGACTGCACTTAAAAAGCATTTTGAATTTGTCAGGTGAAAAGGGCTATATAAGTGCAAAAAATATTTTTATTAATAAAATCTCAGCCACAATACTCTTATTAGTGCCTTTTAGGATTTTTTTTCCAACTGAGTGAGATTTTTTTCTGATCATAGTAACATTTTGTGAACAAGCTGAACTTTTAATCAATTACATTTCACTTTACTAATTATAATGGTGAAATCTCTATTTCTGACTTAACAGAAAATGGAAGAATCAGTAGAATCAGAGAACAGGCAGGGAACAACAAAGAATGAGAGGCAGCAAGAACAATACAACTAGCAAAGGGAAAAAGAGAAGCTAAGTTAACGTGCTTAAAAATGGGAAGAAGAGGGACCACATCAAACTGGAGCAGGAAAAGCGAGGGGAAAAAAAAAGAAATAGGAAGATGGGACAATGAAAAAATGGCTCTATTCCCCTTGACTATTCTGCCCCATTTATCTATTTCCAGAACCTTCATATGTTCTGCAAGCATTTAAAGTAAAAAGGGGGAACAAACTCACCCCAATATTGCCAAGCTAAAAGTCTTCAAGAACTGTCGGGCTTAAGTTTATGAGATTGGCTTAAAAATCATGAGACTTTAAAAAGCAATACACTTTGTGTTCTTTTTATTTGATATATTGGTTCTGATCCTTAAGGCAACAGTCAATTCAAGTTACCACGCTTTTCCCTGCAATCATGAGGTCTATACTTTTTTTTTTCCCAAATGAAGGCTGAAACTCTCCACTCCAGATTGAGGGGTTGAGGGAAATCTGCTGGCAGGCTGCGTGTGGCCCGGGGGGCTGCAGGTTGCCCACCACCGGAATAGACACACAAGGAGTACAAGAAAGGTTATGCAGGAAACCATAAACTGGCATTTCCTAACTTTTGAGTGCTTGACTTTGCAACCTACATAATGTTCCTTTAATGTCATGTATTTGTATGTATTATATCAGTGGTCACCAACCCGTCAATCACTATCAACTGGTCGATCCTGGGGATTCTCCCAGTTGAGCGCAATCTATGGCGGTGCAGCAGGGCTGCTGCTAAGGTAGGCTCCCTGCCTGCTGGGGACCCACACCACTCCCGGAAGCAGCCAGCATGCCCCTGCAGCCCTGTGGGGAGGGACAGGGGTCTCTGCGTGCTGCTCCTGCCTGCAAGCACTGCCCCCGCAGCTCCCATTGGCCGGGAATGGGGAACTGTGGCCAATGGGAGCTTAGAGAGAGGGGCAGCATTAGGGTGATCAGATAGCAAGTGTGAAAAATCGGGACGGGGTGGGTGATAATAAGTTCCTATATAAGCAAAAGCCCCAGAAATCGGGACTGGCCCTATAAAATCGGGTCATCTGGTCACCCTAGGCAGCATGCAGAGCCACATGCCCCCCGACCTCCCTTAACAAGCAGGTGCCTGGGGGGGCCAAGGGAGAGGGGCAGCACCTGCGGCAATTCGGGGGCGGCAGGTCCCTCACTTCCTCTCGGAGCGAAGGACCTGCCGCTGAACTGCTGCCGCCGATCACGGCTTTTTTTTTTTCCCCAATTGCCGCCGCCGATCGCGATCGCGTCTTTTTTGGGGTGGGGGGGCAGCAGAAATGCTGGAGCCGGCCCTGCCCACTACACCAACCTAATAACTTCACCTCCACAAGAGGCGTAGTGCTTAGGAGGATGTAGTTAAGTCAATGCAATGTCTGTGTAGATAGACACTGTTGCTTATATCACCTGTTCCCGCCTTTGACAGCCTTAACTGTCAGCCCTGCCGCCTTGGGGCTGACCGCTGGACAGGGGCGTACCTATGGGTGGCTTCGGCCCACTCGCTTAGCATCCAGGCCCACCGCCCCCGCAGCCCTGGCTCTGCTCCGGCCCCAGCACTAGCCCCACCTAGACCTGGAGGACGCCTCGCACATATTCAGCCTGACTGGAGTGGGGAAGGGGGGACAGCAGCGGCACAGCAGAGGGGTGCTTGACGAGCACGGTGTGCACGTCACAGCTGGAGGAGGCTGGCCGGCTGGCCTGCCCAGCAGTGGCAATCATCAAAAAATGTAGGCCTGCTGCCTCGGGGAGACGGGCCTGGCGTGGGGGGGGTGCAACAGGGACTGGTGCTGGAAGCCGTGCACACTGGAGAGTGGCGTCTCCTCCCAGAGCTAGGTGCATGGACGGGGCTCTGGGGGACCCTGGCCAGAGTATCCATCGCCCCACGCTAGGCCGGCTGGACTGGAGAGGGTGGTTGGAGGCAGGCCCCCCGATCCTTCCTGCCTCCCCTCTCCCATCATTGCCACCACCCGAAGTCGGGGCCCACCCAAATTTCCCATGCTAGCTACACCACTGCCACTGGAGCCCTGCCACTCCGGGGCTGTCAGCTTCAGCAATCATCCCAGGGTGGCGGGGCTCTGGCACCTGGCTGATAGCTCAGGATGTCAGCCCCCCACAATGTCCTATTTAAGTCAGTGGAAGCACTCCTGGTGAGGACGCGCTCCACTGGCAGGAGGATGGCGTGGACATGAACAGCCAATTTAATTACTGCATTGGCTGTAGGTCGACCTAATTTAAGCTGACACGTTTATAGTGTAGACAAGCCACATGAGGTGGTAGCTATGTCCACGGGAGAAGCTCTTCTGTTAACATAGTGCTGTCTACAAGGGAGGGAGGCAGAAGGTCGGTATAATTATGTTGCTACGGGGTGGATTTTTCACACTCTGAAGTGGCATAGTTATCCCGCTATAGAGCTCTAGTGTAGACCTTGGGTAAGGTCCACCAGCAAGTCACTGGGAGACTGAGGATCGGACTCCAGGAGTCCTGTCTCCAGGGCTGGCTCTGGCTTTTTTGCCGCCCCAGGCAAAAAAGCTTCCGGCTGCCCCCCGTGCGGCAGGGGAGGGCGCGGGGGGGAGGGCGGCCGGAGGCCCGGGGGGAGGGCGGTGAGCCCCGGCTGGGGCTCCGCTCTCCCCGGCGGCCAGAGTGCCCCGGGGGGGGGGGGGCGGGAGGGCGGCGAGCCCGGCAGTGGCCCCGCTCTCCCCGGAGCTGGAGCGCCGCACCGCTCCAGGTGCCGCCCCAAGCACAAGCTTGGTGGGCTGGTGCCTGGAGCCGGCCCTGCCTGTCTCCCAGACCTTTGTGCCCAACTGTGGGATGGCTGGACGCTGGTAAACACGCTGCCACTGAGTGGCGCCTGGGCATCTGCTGGGCTACGGCGCTAGTGCAAAGAAAGCAGCGGCCGCGAGACATTGACTGGAGGAGCAGCTCCCAGCACGAATGGGGGGTGCGGGTCTTTACCTATCTCCGCCCCTTGCTGCTTGTTCAGCTCGGAGTCGCTGAAGGTCCTGGAGATGGTCTGCAGGACAGGCTCGGAGCTGCGCCTCCGGGGCAGCGCTTCGCTGCTCAGCTTCATCTCGCCCCCAGCAGCTGCGCCGCCTCCCCTGCAACATAAAACGGGCACCACCGGTAACGCTGCCCCCGGCGGGGCGACAAACTGCCTCCTTCCTTTCCCCCTCCCCCGGCTCGCTGCGCCGCCTGCAGGGCCGCCCCTTGCAAGTCCCGGCACCGCAGGGAAGGGGCCGGGCTGTCCCGCGGCCGAGGACCGCGCTGCGCGCTAGGGCCCCTCGGAGCCCGGCACCCCCAGGCGGGGCCCGTCTCGGAGCCTGCGGGGTGTCGCGCGCGGCCGCCCGTGTGTGACTCACTATGTCCGCCGCTGGGGCCCATCCCGGCCGCCGCCCGCCCGGCTCCCCTCGCGCCTCCCAGTGACTCCGGCCGCTTCCCGTTGCCAGGTAACGATTATCGCCCCGGGTGGCCGCGAGCTCCGTGCGCCTCGCAGCCGCCGG